GGATGATTCGGAGGTTGAAGCATGACTCAATTTTTTAATCAGGTTACAGTGTATTTAATAAAAAATAATTTATTAATTTATTTGATAAATTTATATATTTATTATTCATTTAATAAAATTTATTCAATCTATTTATTAATATTATTTTAAAATTTTAATGGATATGCATTGAATCATTAATAATTTATTAAGAATTATGTAAAAAAAATACATCATTAATTAATTAAAATTTATTTTAATATTCTTTTTAAAATAATTATTATTAAATTCAATAAATTTATTATGGATAATAATTTTTATTAAATAATAATGTAAAAAAATTATGTATGGTTATCGATGTACATATTATATTTTTATTTTTTAATGAAAGAATATTTAAGCATCATGATAATATTTAAAAATTAAATATATTTTTTTTTCCTCTCTTTCCTTTTGATAAATAATATAAGGGATTTAAAATCGGAAACAAAGACCGGTAACCTTTTTGGTCGATGAAAATGATAGTGTCTCAAATCTTATAATTAATGACTAATACGAATTTATAATACATACTTTTTATTATTCAAATATTATTTTAACATAAATGATAAGTAAATATGAGAGTACCAAATCAATCTATAGATCCTAGGATAGACCTTATAATTACTAAGTTAAGAGACTTGATAGTATGAGAATTATTATAAAATTGAGAATTTTATTTTTTATTTAATTAATTATAAACTCTAAGAAAAAGCTTCAAATAAACTTATATTTTATTTTAGATAAGTTTAAATACTAGGAAAAACTTTATTAATGGGACATGACACTATCTAATGACATAAGTTAACTTGATATCATATCTTAATTCAAAATTTTAAGATATTATATTTATGAGTTTTTCTCACTTATAAATTATTTAACATATTTATTTTTATCTAATTTATTTAGGATTTAAACTTTTTACACAATTATAACCTTCAACCCTAAATTTAGGGTTTAAAGTTTATGGGTTAAACTTTCTATTCATGCTTATACACTAATAAATTTATAGATTTTTTTTATTTTATATTTTTTTATGTGAACTTGTAATGTTAATGATAATAAATAGGTGATTCAATCTCGCTTTAAAATTCTCAAAAAGATTAGTGATTAAGTCTAACTCACAAGATATTGTCCCTTATCCTACCTTAAATGTTTATATTACCAAAAAAAAATTAGATCGTAGAAGTTTTTTTTTTTTTTTTTTTTTTTAAATTATCACATTCTTTAACATGCTTTTTCTAGAATTTTCCTATATTGGAAAGAGGGAGGAAAGGAGAGAAGAAAGAGAGACGAGGGAGAGAAAGAGAGGAAGAAGTGAGACGGGGTCTTTAGACATAAAAGACTACTCCATTATTTCATTTTGCTGCATTGCTTATCGCACAGGTTTAACTCTAGTCTAGACGTACTACTTAGTTTTTTTTTTTTTTTTAAAGATACGAAAGATTATAAAGATGGTCGCAATGAAGATTAAACTTAAGTCCTTGTGCTTCTAACTACTTTAATCCCTCCCCACCCAACTACTAGGCTACTAACTAATTAAATAAAGAGTTGTTCATAAATATTATACTTACACATACATTAATGGCTTATGCAGTGTTCTTAGTTGACGAAAAATAGCATGTCTATGGTTTGATTGATCTGGTCCACAAGCAATGAGATTTTAATATATATATATAT